CTTTTTCCTTCCTCGGCCATTCTCCTTCCTCGGCCCTTTCTCTCTCTTCTCCTTCCTTCTCTTTCTCCTTCCTCTATACGCCTAATGCTTTTCCGGCGTATTCCGGCGGATGGTGTGACGGTGAGTGGTCTTGGTGAAGGTATGAATGGGTTTTTTGGTCAAATTTGACCATGAAAAAGTCTAGATCTAGAGTTTTTCATGGTCAAATTTGGTTTTAATAAACCAAATTCGAATTCAATTTGGATTTTAAGGTATGCTTTTGTGTTATTAATATTTTTTTTGTTTGATTTTATGTACGAATTTGGTTTGGTTTTGTTGTTGATGTGTTGTACGAATTTAGTTTGATTTTTTTTTTGTTCGAATTTTGGTTGATTATTTTATTGATTTTTTTTTAAATTTGGGTTGATTTTTGTTGATTTTTTTTACAAATTTGGGTTGATTTTATGTTTTTCAGGTTAGGATGAGGGTGGTGGGTGGGTTCTGGGTGGTTGTCTTGGTGGGGGGGGGGGGTTCTAAGTGGTGGTTAGGCTGGGCCGGCAGTGGGTTAGGGGCTTGGGTGTGGGTTAGGAGCGTGGGTGTGGGTTGCTGTGGGCTGGTTTGGTGGGTGGTTTGCTGTGTGGTGTGGTGTGGGCTGGTTTGGTGGGTGGTGTGGTGTGGGTGTTGTGGGCTGGTTTGGTGAGTGGTGTGGTGTGGGTGCAGGTGTGGCTGGCCTGGTGAGGTGGTGGCTGGGTAGGGTAGTTGGGGTGGTGCCGGGGTTTTTATTTTTATTTTTTTTAATGCGGTTTCCGACGGAATTTCTGTCGGAACAGTTTTTTCCGACGGAATTGGCCATTTTACTTACAAAGGGTGTTCCGACAACCAGTTCCGACGGAATTTCCGTTGGAACAGTGTTTTTCGACGGAATTTAGGGTGTTTCCGACGGAATTTTGCCGTCGGAAATGGCCTCTTTTCTAGTAGTGAGTGAGATAGTTCGAGTGAGTCCGTAATTGGGCAATTGGTGAAGAGGAGATAGCCATTGGAGGGCAGCTTATTCTCAAATCCAAGGCAGAACATGAACGAAGGTGAATTGCGGGGTCGAAGCAGGGTTTATTCGGGTGTTCTTGGGAGTATACTTCATAAGTCTTCCTCTTATTAATTTGTTCCATATTACTAATTTATTTTATGTTCTTTGCTAATTTGATAAAATACTTTTATTGGATTATTGGTATTATAATTGATTTCTGATTTATGTGTTTTTTTCGATTTAATGGGTATTTGAAATTTGCTTGTTCTTGATTATCAAATTTGCAATTTGGCATTGATTGTTATCTTTCATGTTATTAGTTGTGAATTATTGCTATCTATATGGTTTAGCTTAGTTTAAATCGTATAGTAAAGTAGTCCCTAATTTTATATCAAGTGTGCGATTACGGTTTGATTTAAATTAAAGAGAAAATTCAATCTAAATAATCTGACATTTATTTGATTAGTTTAATTAAGACTAATGAGGTCTCCTAGTTGTTAATGCTTCCGATTCTAACTCATGCAAGTTGCGATATATATGTGTTAATTAGACGGTTTAGAGTCAATTTCAGTTTAGTTTAGAATTGGTTTCAAGTAATGGAGATAGGGAGTTTTTGTTACTAAAGTCTCTACAGTTAGTCCATTCGTTAACTTGAGTAATTTAGCAGAGTCGGTCAATTATTATTATCAATAGTTTGGTGTGAGTAAAGTTATGAATGGAATTGGTTAAGTGTGTCATCACTTGTGATTATTAGATTATTATTTAATTCTTTTTTTAGTTTAGTTGCTCGTTCAAGTTAAACCTCCCATTCTCATGTATATAGTATATATAGTATTCTTTATGTGTATATAGTTTACTTTTCGAGTTGACTTTGAGTTTATAGAGTTAATTAATCTCCTTACTTACCCTTTTTACTAGTTGTTAATATTTTTGAATATCTAAGTTAGGTATTTAATTTATTAATTTGGTGTGGTAAACGACTCGTATCAAATTTTGGTGCCGTTGAGATTTTTTTTTATAATTAAAATTCAAGGTTTTACTCATTTATGTTTACTTGTTAATCTGTGAATACTAATATTGCCTGTAAAATTATCTTTATATTAGAATATATGTGAGTGTGCTGTAATAATCCTTTAATAAGTTGACTAATGTTAAGTGCTACCTTAATCAATGTACTACTTTTGCAATATAACAGCTCTCACCCACGGTACATATTAGTCCACTTTAAATGATTTTTTATTTTTTTTTTCTCGTTCTTGTTCTATGCGGCAACTCAAATCTTCTTTTGCCACATTGAAGGAAATTTGACATTCCCATCCTGTTTCAATCTGTATACAGTATAAGTTTCGTCAGAATATGTTTCATGACTTTAGAACTATGACAAGTGATATATGTTTAAAGACACTATTATAAATAATTTTATCTGCACAAGCTTGAAAGCTACCTTATGTCTTTTGCTTTATCATTCTAGCTTGATTCATCACGTTACGCAAGAAGAATGACTTGTTGCTGCTATTATTGTGAGAATTATAATTCAAAGAAGCATGTGCTTAATTAATTTTATAAGTGATATTTACTGACAGATGCTAAGAGATATGTGTCCAAGGTCGAATTAACATTCAAATGAATAGACTAATGGTAGCTAGTGGGGTTGCTTACACTATGTATGGGTTGATTGTTTTAGATTAGCACTCACAATTGAGCTACTTAATTTTACCATATATTATTTGCTGAATTCTTATATACCTTGCTGATTCTGGTAATAAGTTCCACAGTGTTTTGGTAACAATATTATGCGGTTTATATGCATTTGCTCTAATAATTTATTTATTTATTTATTTATTTATTTTTTTTTTTTTTGTGGCTGTAATTTTTCTGTAATTTGTATTTTCAATAGAGTGCTTATAATGTATTGTTTGTTCTCGGGCCCAACATTTATTTTTGCAAGCATTAATCTGGTGTGATAACTCTGATAAAAGAACTAAAAAAATTGAAACAAGTATGCTACATAAATGTTCTAGAAGTCCCTGGCAGAATAAATTTAAGCGAGTTTGTGTCCATCTATATGCTGTTTTGGGCTACTATATTAATGAAAATCTAAGGTTCTGATGTGAATCATTCAGTGAACAGTCTGGCAGCATAATATTGAGAATTAGCTAGCTTTATATGTTGAATTTTGATATAAAGGTGCATGAGTATTGGTACGACTAATCCTAAATACAGGAGAACCATTTCTGCCAGTCTGTTGGACTACTATCTAGTTCATATCATTACTTGTTAGATGCTGAATTGCTGATTTGCTACTGAAAATTTAGTATACTTACTGCCAAATACATGAAATATAAAATTTCTTATCTGAATACCAGATCTCATTACTTCAGAACTGCTAAAGTTGTAATCTTGCCTAGTTACAAGCTTATGATTGAGTTCTGACCAGTACATAAATATTGACCTTATGTGATAGTATTTTAGGAAATTCCTCATTAGTTTTCAGTTTTCTTTATAGGTGCATGTATGCGTACGATACAGAAGCACGACTTCAGCGCATAAAAGCATATGTAGGCTTCTTAAACGAGGAAGAACCATAGAAGTTACTTCAAATTTTTAGTGCAGAACCTGAACTTGAAGTAGAAGATCCATTACCTATCACATACACTTTCATGGGCGAACGAACATTGAAGGAACTAGGAGCTCCTAAGCTGGAGGATGAACCCCTGTGTATTGTCTTCCCTACTCTGGAAAAAACCATTGAAGCTCAATTCAGGTTTTCTTAATCTTCTCCCTAAATTTTATGGGAGCGCAGGTGAGGATCCGCATAGACACTTAAAAGAATTTATTATTGTGTGTTCCACTATGAAACCTGAAGGAATTGAACAAGATCACATTCGAATGCATGCTTTTCCATTTTCTTTGCATGATATAGCTAAAGATTGGTTGTATTCTCTTTCTTCTTGATCAATCACGACTTGGGAGGCTATCCAAAAAGCTTTTCTTGAAAAATTCTTTCCCGCAAGTCATGTTGGATTCATTAGAAAAGAGATTTTTGGTATTAGACAACATGCTAATAAGTCACTTTATGAGTATTAGGAACGCTTTAAAAGGTTATGTGCTTCATGTCCACAACATCAGATTAGTGACTAACTCCTAATTCAATACTTCTATGAGGGATTGTTGTCTAGTGATAGAGGAATGATTGATGCTGCTAGAGGGGGTGCCTTAGTTGATAAAACACCATCTCAAGCTAAAACTCTAATTTCTAATATGACACAAAACACTCAACAACATAGTAGGAGGAATGATGTTGGAAGAGTTAATGATGTGGACTTAAGTGGAATTAAAAATCAATTACAGGAAAACGCACAACAGATTGCTGCCTTGACCACCTTAGTGTCAAAGATTGTTCCTGGTAATGAGTCTAAAGCTAGAGTCAGTGGTATTTGTTCTGATTTTTCTCATGCAACTGATGAATGTCCAACTTTACAGAGTGAAGATGTTAATGCTTTAGGGAGTTTTTCTGGTCAACAAAATAGGAAGTATGATCCTTTCTCACAAACTTATAATGAAGGTTGGAAAGACCACCATAATCTTAGGTATGGAAATCGACCATAATTTCAACAGTTTAATTAATTTAAGCAACTTGGTCAACAAAACCCACCACCTAAACCTGCTAACCCTTCATTAGAAGATTTGGTGAAACAGTTAGCAAACCAAATAGGATAGGTTCATGATCATGGTGGTTACTATCAAAAGAAAACTAACACTCACCTACATTACATTGATACTCAAATAGGTCAAATTAGCACTTCTCTTAGTAAGTTGGAATCTCAACTTTCGAATAAGCTTCCTTCTCAAACACTTGCCAATCCAAATGAACATGCTAAAGTTGTAACACTTAGGATCAGTAAAGAGTTAAAGGAACCTAAAATAAAGATTAGAGAAGTAGAAAAAGAGGTAGAAGTCAGACCTAAGGATGCAGTTGGTGAGAGTAAGGAAAAACATGATAAAGAGTGAGAAAGAACCTGTAGGGAAGGGTAATTCTGATGTGAATTTTGGTGTTTCTCGTTTTAAAGATGTTCCCCCTTTCCTTTTTCGATTTGCTAATGCTATGAAAGAAGCTATGGACAATGAAATTCTTGAGACTTTTAGAAAAGTTAAAGTTAATATTCCTCTTCTTAATGAAATTAAGCAAGTACCACGCACTAATAAAAGACAATTTCGCTCTTCTAAAAAGGTGAGTATGGGGGAAAATATTTCAGCTGTAATTCAAAAGAAATTTCCCCCTATATGTAAGGATCCTGGCATGTTTTCTATTCCATGTAAATTTGGTAATTCTATTTTTGAAAGATGCATGCTAGACTTAGGTGCTTCAATCAATGTCATGCCTAAATCTGTATATGATACTTTGAATGTGGGTACTTTGTCTAAAACTAATGTTGTTATCCAATTAGCTGATAGATCTAATGCATTTCCTATGGGAGTTTTGGAAGATGGTTGTTCAAGTGAATGAACTAGTTTTTCCTGCTGATTTTTATGTGCTTGATATGGGTGATAGATCTAATAGTGTTCCTTTATTGTTGGGTCGACCTTTGCTAAAGACTTCCAAAACTAAAATTGATGTTCATGAAGGTAATTTGACAATGGAATTTGATGGAGAAATGATTAATTTCAACATATTTGATGCTATGAAATACCCTAATGATATCATCAATGTTAGTTCTATAGATTCATTTGATGCATGTGATTGGATGGCTCAGGATGTTTTTGATGAGTGGTGTGAAAATTTGTTTGAAAATGGTGTGTTTGGTGATTTTAAGAAAATCTTTTGTAATTTCGTCTGATGTGATTGAACCTGATGTTCTGATGGATGCAGAAAGTCTTTACCTTTTGTTGTGACTAAATTGATTCCTTCTATTGTTAAGCCACCTGAATTAGAATTGAAACCCCTTCCCTCTAATTTGAAGTATGCTTATTTGGGTGATAATGAGACTCTACCTATGATTATTTCAAGTTCTTTAAATGAATCTCAAGAGACCTGGTTATTGATTTGCTTAAAAATCACAAGCATTAGGATGAACTTTAGTTGACATAAAAGGCATTAGTCCCGCCATGTGCATGCATAAATTTTTTCTTGAAAAAGACGCTAAACCAACTAGAGAGGCTCAACGTAGATCAAATCCTTCAATGATGGAAGTAGTTAAAAAGGAAATTTTAAAGTGGTTAGATGCAGGGGGGATCTACCCTATTTTTGATTCCCAATGGGTAAGTCCAATTCATGTGGTACATAAAAAGAGTGGAATAACTGTTGTAGAGAATAATAAAGGAGAACTTGTCCCTACTAGAGTATCTAATGGATGGAGAGTTTGTATTGACTATAGGAAGCTTAATCAAGCTACTAGACAAGACCATTTTCCCCTTCCATTTATTGATCAGATGTTAGAAAAGCTTGCTGGACAATCCTTTTTCTGTTTTCATGATGAATATTCTGGTTATACACAAGTACCCATTGTTCTTGAAGACCAAGATAAAACCACTTTTACTTGTCCTTTTGGTACTTTTTCTTTTAGAAGAATGCCTTTTGGTTTATGCAATGCTCTTGGAACTTTTTAAAGATGCATGATGAGTATATTTTCTGATTTGATTCAACAAGTTATGGAATTGTTTATGGATAATTTTACTGTGTTTGGTGATTCATTTGATAGATGTATTCATGCTTTATCTCGAGTTTTGAAATATTGTGTTGAAACTAACCTTGTTTGAGTTTTAAAAAATGTCATTTTATGGTTAAACAAGGTGTAGTTCTTGGTCATATTGTTATTGCCAAAGATTTAGAGGTTGATAAAGCTAAAATTGATGTCATTAGTTCTTTACGTTATCCTACATGTGTTCGTGAAGTTAGATCATTTTTAGGACATGCTGGCTTTTATAGACACGCTTTATCAAAAATTTCTCTAAAATCGCTTTACCTTTATGTGCTTTGCTTGCTAAAGATGTTGTTTTTTACTTTAATGATGAATGCAATAAGGCTTTTAAAAGAAAAATTGACAAGTGCTCCAGTGATTAGACCCCCTGATTGGTCTTTGCCTTTTGAAATCATTTGTGATGCTAGTTATAAAATTGTAGGAGTAGTCCTAGGGCAAAAGAAAGGTAAAGAGTCTTATGTGATCCATTATGCTTCTATATCACTTGATTCTGCCCAATGCAATTACACTGTAACTGAAAAAGAGATGTATGAGGTTGTTTTTGCTTTAGAGAAATTTAGGCCTTACTTACTTGGCACTCATGTGATTGTTTATTCTGATCATGCGGCTCTTTAATACTTGTTAAAGAAGAGTCACTCAACACCTAAGTTGCTTAGGTGGATGCTTCAATTACATGAATTTAACTTGGAAATTAGAGATAAAAAGGGTGTTGAAAACCAAGTTGCCGACCTTCTAAGTAGAATTGTACCCAGAGAGGATTGTCCATTACTAACTGAATTTTTTTTCGATGAGGAGCTTGCATCTTTATATAGTGTTGACACTCCTTGGTATGCTAATAGTGTTAATTATCTAGTGACTGGAACATTTCCCCCTACACTCACTAAAGCTCAAAAGAATAATATTAAATCTGATTCTAAATATTATATGTGGGATGATCCATATTTGTGGAAATCATGTTCTGACCAAATGATTAGGAGATGTGTAGACAAACCTGAATATGCTTTCATTCTTACTTTTAGTCATAATCCTGAAAGTGGAAGACATTTTGGACCTCAAAGGACTGCTCATAAGGTACTTGGATGTGGTTTATATTGTCCTACTATTTACAAAGATGCATATTTGTTTTGTAAATCTTATGAACGTTGTCAAAAGACTGGAAATTTGTTTAAAAGAAATGAAATGCCTCAATCTGGTATCCTTATTTGTGAAATATTTGATGTTTGGGGTATAGATTTTATGGGCCCTTTTCCTTCTTCTTTTAGTAATGTTTATATCATTCTTGCTGCTGATTATGTATCTAAATGGGTAGAGACGAAGGCTGTGTTAAATTTGTTAAGAGTCATATTTTAATAAATTTGGCATGCTTAAAGCCATCATAAGTGATAGAGGGACTCATTTTTGCAACAAAACCTTTGGTGCGCTTTTAGAGAAATATCATGTAACCTATAGAGTTGCTACTGCATATCACCCTCAAACTAGTGGGCAGGCTAAGATTTCTAACAGGGAAATAAAATCGATTCTTGAGCAAATGGTTAATCCTAATAAGAGAGATTAGAGTATTCGATTAGGTGATGCATTGTGGGCATATAGAACTGCATATAAAACTCCTTTAGGAATGTCTCCATTTAGACTTGTTTTTGGTAAAGCATGTCAATTACCTGTGCAAATTGAGCACAAGTCTTTTTGGTCAGTAAAGCAATGTAATTTAGACTATGACCTTGCTGGATATGAAAGGAAATTACTGTTGCTTCAACTAGAAGAATTAAGGTTAGAGGCATATGAAAATCCCAAAATCTATAAAGACAAAATTGTTGGGTTTCGTAGTATCCAACACTACACGGAATGAAACCCTCCGAAAATCCGCACACAAATTAAAGTAACGAAACATGCATATAAATTAACAATCACATAATTAATTAACAAAGAGAGATAGAAAGACGATCATACCCTTAATGCGTGCTTCGCTCCTTTTAGAGCTCGAACTCGAAAGTGTAAATCTCTGCAAATGCGCAAACCTCCAACAGCGCTCACCCTAAAGACCCGTCCTGAAAAGCCCCAACCCCGAAGTTTAGTCGGGGCTAGAGCAAAAGAACTTAGAGTATTAGAGCTAAAGTTTTCTCTTCTTGGAGATCCCTTAAAGTTCACAACTCAAGTGTCCCTTCCTAATGCCAAATGATTGGTATTTATAGGGAAGGGAGCCCTTGAATTCCAATCTCCCATAAATGTGGAAGAGTTGGTAAAATGCATTTTATTCAATTTAATTTAATTCAAAAATCAAATTAAAATGCAAATTAATCAACAAACAATAAGTATCAAGTGGAGAGCAAAAGGTTAGGTGAGGTTCACAAGGGGGGGACCACCCTCCCCTTGCTCCCCAAGCAATCCCACAGCCACACGCCCCACACGCATTATCCAGCTGACGTGGCCTGCCTTTAGCGCCAAGGTTGCATCGCTGGCGACCTGGCCCCTAGGCTGGGCCTGCTGGCTGGTTGCGTGTGTGTGCAGCCCAACAAGTGTGCCTCGCATGCATGCGGGCTACTGCTGGGCGTGCTGGCACTACTACCACAAGCTCTTTCAAGCTAGCTGATGTTATGCTGCTATCGCTAGCATTCGCTAGCTAGCTGTTGCTTCAATGCTTGTGCTAGGCGCACCCCACCACGCAATGCCCCCAACACACACACGCCTAGCGTGCTTGTGCTGCTGATACGATGCTCTTGCTAGGCGCAACCCAGCATGCTACTACCTTACGCGCAAGACTCAGCTAGCATGTGCTACTGGCCTTGCTTGCGATGGTGCAGGCTTGCTGTTGCCATGCCTAGCATGTGCAGCTGGCCCTTTGCAGGCCTTGCCTTGCACACATGGCTGGCTATGACTAGCCATCATAGCCCTCGATTAGCTAGGCCACTTCGAGGCTAGGATTTTCTCGTGCGATGACTTGTTGTTTGCTTGATTTCTCGTCTCGTCAATTCCTAAATTCGACTCAACTTAGGACGCTCGGTTTTCGACGCTTCAAGCTCGGAATCCAACTTCTATATTCGTATTACTCTAATGACTCATTTAATCCTTCGGATTAATTTGTCGTTTCATTTCGGTTACTCGATAAGGTGTGACCCGGAGGGTTTAGTCAAGATTAAGCTATAATATTAATTATGCGTTAATATGTTGGGTTTCGTAACGTCCAACGCTACGCGGAAGAGAAACCCGCCCAAGACCCGCCCAAATAATTAAAGCAATAAAGCATGCATAAAAATAATTAAACAATAATTAACAGAAGGAATAAAGAAGTAATACCCTTGAAGCGTGCTTCGCTCGTAAATCGAGCTCTTACTTCGAAGCTTAAAGCCTCACAAGCGTGACGGCCTCAAAAGGCTCGTACCCACAACCCGACCCAAACGATCTTCGTCTCGAGGGTTAGTCGAGACTTGACCAAATATAAAACTAGAGAATTACGAATTTAAAGGTTTTCTCAACAATAAGAGATGCCCTTTTGAGTTCTACTCAAGTTGATTTCCAAATTCCCAATCATGGGGTATTTATAGGGAAATGCAACTTCCACTCCCATTCATGATCAATGTGGGATAGTTTGCATTTCTAAATAATTTATTTAAATAAAAAATTAATTAAAAGATAATGCAATCAACAATCAACAAGTGGCACATGGAGAGGAGAGGTTAGGTTAGGACCATCACCAAAGGGGACCATTGCCTTGCTCCCCAAGGGATGGCTCCGAGCCTTGGTCCCCACTTCTCCAAACCGGCATCAAGGCATAAGCAAGCTGGCAGCCTGCCTTGGCTACCAAGGCTGCTAG